CAGGATATTGCAGATACATTGTAATGCAAATTGAAACAATCAAATAATTTTTAGCATCCATACAAATGTCAAGAAAAATTTATTTCTGCAGTGTTTAATTTGTACGAATATACTTCAAGCTATTTACATTGTATTTTCAACTTTAGTCTGGTAACAAATTTGTTTATTCTGAATTTTTTCTGTTTTTCAGGTTTTTGTTAGACTGAGAAACCTAAAACTTTTTACCAAATTGATTTATGAAGAGAAGTAAGAAAGTTATAGTTGATTTAGAATTTTACGCGTCATAATATTGTATATTGCTTATATAGCCATTTTGAGAAATTGAGTATAAAAGTAGAATGGTTCTCATTGGCTTATGAATGAATATATTTGTATGATTTTTGGACAGGATAATCCAGATACATTGTAATGCAAATTGAAACAATGAAATAATTTAAAGCTTCCATGCAGACGTCAAAAAAAAATTATTTCTGCAGTGTTTAATTTGGACGAATATACTTCAAGCTATTCACATTGTATTTTCAACTTTAGTCTGGTAACACATTTGTTTATTCTGAATTTTTTCTGTTTTTCAGGTTTTTGTTAGACCGAGAAACCTAAAACTTTTTACCAAATTGATTTATGAAGAGAAGTAAGAAAGTTATAGTTGATTTAGAATTTTACGCGTCATAATATTGTATATTGCTTATATAGCCATTTTGAGAAATTGAGTATAAAAGTAAAATGGTTCTCACTGGCTAATGAATGAATATATTTGTATGATTTTTGGACAGGATATTGCAGATACATTGTAATGCAGATTGAAACAATCAAATAATTTTTAGCATCCATACAAATGTCAAAAAAAATTTATTTCTGCAGTGTTTAATTTGGACAAATATACTTCAAGCTATTCACATTGTATTTTCAACTTTAGTCAGGTAACAAATTTGTTTATTCTGAATTTTTTCTGTTTTTCAGGTTTTTGTTAGACTGAGAAACCTAAAACTTTTTACCAAATTGATTTATGAAGAGAAGTAAGAAAGTTATAGTTGATTTAGAATTTTACGCGTCATAATATTGTATATTGCTTATATAGCCATTTTGAGAAATTGAGTATAAAAGTAAAATGGTTCTCATTGGCTTATGAATGAATATATTTGTATGATTTTTGGACAGGATATTACACATACATTGTAATGCAAATTGAAACAATCAAATAATTTTTAGCATCCATACAAATGTCAAAAAAAATTTATTTCTGCAGTGTTTATTTGTACGAATATACTTCAAGCTATTTACATTGTATTTTCAACTTTAATCAGGTAACAAATTTGTTTATTCTAAATTTTTTCTGTTTTTCAGGTTTTTGTTAGACTGAGAAACCTAAAACTTTTTACCAAATTGATTTATGAAGAGAAGTAAGAAAGTTATAGTTGATTTAGAATTTTACGCGTCATAATATTGTATATTGCTTATATAGCCATTTTGAGAAATTGAGTATAAAAGTAAAATGGTTCTCATTGGCTTATGAATGAATATATTTGTATGATATTTGGACAGGATATTGCAGATACATTGTAATGCAAATTGAAACAATCAAATAATTTTTAGCATCCATACAAATGTCAAGAAAAATTTATTTCTGCAGTGTTTAATTTGTACAATATACTTCAAGCTATTTACATTGTATTTTCAACTTTAGTCTGGTAACAAATTTGTTTATTCTGAATTTTTTCTGTTTTTCAGGTTTTTGTTAGACTGAGAAACCTAAAACTTTTTACCAAATTGATTTATGAAGAGAAGTAAGAAAGTTATAGTTGATTTAGAATTTTACGCGTCATAATATTGTATATTGCTTATATAGCCATTTTGAGAAATTGAGTATAAAAGTAAAATGGTTCTCATTGGCTTATGAATGAATATATTTGTATGATTTTTGGACAGGATATTCCAGATACATTGTAATGCAAATTGAAACAATCAAATAATTTTAAGCTTCCATGCAGACGTCAAAAAAAAATTATTTCTGCAGTGTTTAATTTGGACGAATATACTTCAAGCTATTTACATTGTATTTTCTTCGATGCTTATTTTAAGACTATTGTTTACTTTAAATTAAGATTTTAATATTTCAAATTGTAATTTTTTCAGGGTTTGGGAAATAGGAATAGTATGTAAGATCTGTAATGTTACTTGGCAAAGATAATTATGTTAGAAGATTGAGTCAAAAACAGTTAAAAACTATGTCTCAACAGAATTGTCAAGGGGGCTCAGACAATTCTTTCTCTATGTAAAATGATTCAGACAAACATGATTAAATGGGACAGCCAAAGCACGACCAGCTCTATTCCTTAGGAGATTTTGCACAAACACAACACACATTACAATATTTATTCTTTAATCATACATTTATTCACTGAAAAAATGAACACGTTTCTGCCCATAAATTTTCCACTAGAGCGTTAAAGAGGATATTTTGTCTGTCCACGGATATGTCTCCATTTCTCATGTGGCTGGTTCTCTTGTCCTCGAATCCTCGTCAGCTGAAATGATGCACTGCAAACAACTAAACCAAAGTTCCGCTACACCACAATTCTAACATTAAAATAGCAAATTTCAGCTATTCGCTACAATTTAGCTCATGACAACCATCTGATATTTTGTAATTCTGGTCCCTGATGATGTTTTAGTCCTTTATTCAGTCTCAAAGGAAGTTATAAAGCTGGCATTTGTGTTTTAAATCAGAAATTTGAAAAATTCGTGACAAAGTCAGCCATTTTGTTTACACCGGAAGTCACGTGTTAGAATACTGCAATAAATAGCTTTGTTTGACAACCAAGACTACCGTTTCGTCGTTTTACTACCGACTAATTTGCGTTGTGAGTTGTCTCCCTTAGAACATGATCATCCAGACACTTACTTTACAAATGTGCAGTTTTGATAATCAAGACTAGATGTAAACAAACAAAATGGCTGACTTCTTCACGAATTTTTCAAATTTCTCATTTAAAACGCAAATGCTGGCGTTATGACTTCGTTTGAGAGTGAATGAAGGGCCTACGCATCATCACGGTCCATAATTCCAAATGATCAGACAGTTATCATGAGCTGAATTGTAGCGAATAGCGGAAAATTGCCATTTTAATGTTAAAATGTGCCTTTTGTGCATAAAATTTCTAAAGAGTTTGTGTTTTACTTTTCTTGATAATTATATTTATTCAAATCTTTTTCAGGTGATTCTGATATTAAAAATATGCCAACAGATACAACTGAATCTAAATCTGTAATTGTAATGTAATGAATAAAAATGTGTTACAACTTTCACTCTTTTGTCTGATTTGCTTTGTTTATAATAACACTTTATAGAGTGCTACCTTGAAGCTCTGGAGTCTGCACTTTGCTTTGGCTGGCTAGGAAGACAGAAGGGGTATATACGCTTCCCTTCAGGAACATGATTAAATGGAGTGGCCAAAGCAGGGTCAGCTTCATACCTTGGGGACTTTTGCACAAACATAACACACTTTACAATATTTATTCTTTAATCCAAAGTCAGACTGTTATTTGAAAACAACAGATTACAATTATTCACACAAAAGATAAAACGTTTCTGTCCATAGACAATAAATTTTCCAATAAAATGTTACGTCCATTCCTCACGTGGTGGCTAGGTGGTTCCCTTGTCCTCGAGTCTTCGTCAGTTGAAATGCACTACAAACAACAAAGTTCCGCTAATTATAAAATTAAAATGGCAATTTCCCGCTTTTCGCTACATTCTAGCTTATGTCAGCTGTCTGGTCTTTTGGAATTCTTGTCTCTGGTGATGGATTAGCCCTTCATTCACGCTCAAACGAAGTTATAAGGCTGGTTTTCACGTTTTAAATCAGAAATTTGAAAAATTCGTGACAAAGTCAGCCATTTTGTTTACACCGGAAGTCACGTGTTAAGAGCAGTGCAATAATTCACTTTGTTTGACAACCAAGTCTACCTCGTGCGTCTTTTTACTACCGACAAATGTGCCGTTGTAATATGGAGTTCTCTCCCTTAGACCATGTTTTGATTTGCTCGGATAACACTAATAAATAACTAGTAGCGCTGGTGTGTTTTGTTTTGGGAATAGCGTGTTTGCTTCGATGTTTTAAACCAAATTATTTATTTTTTTGTTTTTCAGGGACTCTAACACATCAAATCAAGCAATAATCAACGCCCTAGACCCCTCGTAAATACGAATTTGGCTTTGAATGACGGGTAGGGTAGCGAAACACGTAGGCGTGGTCAGTTTTGAAAGGTAGGAAAAAGCAGACTCCAAATACATGATTATCCAGACATCTTTACTCACGAAACCTGCAGTTTTGATAATCAAGACTAGATGTAAACAAACAAAATGGCTGACTTCGTCACGAATTTTTCAAATTTCTGATTTAAAACGTAAATTCCAGCGTTATAATTTCGTCAGAGAGTGAACGGAGGGCTTACCCATCACCGGGGACTAGAATTGCAAAAGATCAAACAGTTGTCATGAGCTGAATTGCAGTGAATGGCGGAAATTTGCCATTTTAATGTTAGAATTATGCGGTAAGGGAATGTTGGGTCCTTGTTTAAGTAACCTTTTGGTACCAGAGTGTGTCTTTTGTGCTTCACATTTCATTTTACATTTCTTTTAATCTTTTTCAGGTCATTCTGATATTAATAGAGATATGCCAACAGATACAACTGAATCTAAATCTTCAATTGTAATGTAATGAATAAAAATGTGTTACAATTTTAACTCATATGTCTTATTTGCTTTGTTTATAATAACACTTTATAGAGTGCTACTTTTAAGCTCTGGAGTCTGCATTTTGCTTTGGCAGGCTAGAAAGACAGAAAGGGTTTGTGCTCCCCTTCAGGAACTTTTGTGCTACCCCCTATGGCTATGTCTGTCCTTTTGGAGTGCCTCAACATAGTAATATTCAGTTTCTATGTATCTTAGGGTTGGGGTGCCGAGTATGAGCCACAGAATTGTCAAAGGGGGCTCTGACAAACATGATTAAATGGGGCGGCCAATGCAGGGTCAGCTTCATATCTTGGGGGCTTTTGTGCAAACACAACACACATTTCAATATTTAATCTTTAATCTTTACAGATTACACTTATTCACACAATAAAGAACACTTTTCTGTCTATAGACAACAAATTTTCCAATAAAACGTTAAGGAGCAAGTTGAGTCTGTCCATAGATATATATGCATGTGTCCATAAGAATAAATTTTCCACTAAACGGAGCATATAGTCCTTTAACTGCGACTGTATCTTCGTCCATTTCTCACGTGGCGGCGTAGGTGGTTCTCTTGTCCTCAAATCAAGTCAGTTGAAATGTTGCACTCCAAACTACAAAAACAAAGTTCCGCTACACCATAATTCAAACATTAAAATGGCAAATTTCCGCCATTCACTGCATTTCAGCACATGACAACTGTTTGATATTTTGAAATTCTGGTCCCCAGTAATGAGTCGGCCCTTCTTTCACTCTCAGACGAAGTTATAACGCTGGCATTTACGTTTTAAATCAGAAATTTGAAAAATTCGTGACAAAGTCAGCCATTTTGTTTTCACCGGAAGTCACGTGTTAAAATATGCAATAATTGACTTTGTTTGACAATCAAGTCTACTCGGCGCATCTTTTTACTACCGACTTTTATGTTATGAGTTGTCCCCCTTTGAAAGGATTATCCAGACACTTATACCCATGAAACCTGCAGATTTGATAATCAAGACTAGATGGACTCACTCCACTAAAACATTTTATGCAAATGATTGTATAGGAATGTAGTCCAGGCTATTTTTAGAAATCTTCTTTCTCTCTCCCTTTTGGGGTTTTTGCCTGCCTATTTTTGGGTAAAATTTGGTCTAGATTTGGAATTTGATGTCTGAAATTGCATTATCTTTCAGATTTGGTGAGATGATGAGAGACTTAAAGGCGGAAGGCTAATTCTAAAAATAGTCGTTTTGTGAAGTGCCAAACTCTAGCGGATGAGTATAACCGGTAGTAGTCTACTTTCAATTTTAGTAGCTCAAAATTTTCATGGTCATCATATAATGAATTTTTTAGGAGACATTGAGAATTGGTCAGGCTTTCATTCGACATATTGGAAAGCTTTCAACGAGATTTCTGGAAAAAGTTATAGAAGGTTGAATTTCGTGTTTTAACATGGGAAGAGATGGCAAATGAATTAGTGGAGTGAGTCCAGATGTAAACAATCAAAATGGCCGACTTCATCACGAATTTTTCAAATTTCTGATATAACACGTAAATGCCAGCGTTTTAACATCGTCAGAGAATGAACGGAGGGCTTACCCATCACCGGGGTCCAAAATTCCAAAAGATCAAACAGTTGTCAGAGTTGAAATGCAGTGAATGGCGGAAATTTGCCATTTTAATGTTAGAATTATGGGGTAGCTTAATGTTACGTCCATATTTAAGTAACCTTTTGGTACCAGAATGTGTCTTTTGTGCTTCACATTTCTAAGGAGTTTTTATTTTAATTTTCTTGATACTTACATTTCTTTAAATCTTTTTCAGGTGATTCTGATATTACTAGAACTATGCCAACAGACACGACTGAATCTAAATCTGTAATTGTAATGTAATGAATACAAATGTGTTACAACTTTCACTCTTTTGTCTGATTTGCTTTGTTTATAATAACACTTTATAGAGTTCTACCTTGAAGCTCTGGAGTCTGCATTTTGCTTTGGCAAGCTAGAAAGACAGAAAGGGTATGTGCTACCCTTCAGGAACTTTTGTGCTACACCCTATGGCTATGTCTGTCCTTTTGGGGTGCCCCAACAAAGTAATAGAGTAATATGTGGGTATCTATGTATCCTAGGGTTGGAGTGCCTAGTATTAGCCACAGAATTGTCAAAGGGGGCACGGACAAACATGATTAAATGGAGCGCCCAAAGCAGGGTCCGCTTCATATCTTGGGGGCTATTGCACAAAAATAACACACATTACAATATTTATTCTTTAATCCAAAGTCAGACTGTTATTTGAAAACAACAGATTACACTTATTCACACAAAAGATAACACGTTTCTGTCCATAGACAATAAATTTTCCAATAAAACGTTACAAAGCACCCTTGTATCTTCGTCAATTTCTCACGTGGTGGCGTAGGTGGTTCCCTTGTCCTCGAATCTTCGTCAGTTGAAATGTTGCACTACAAACAACAAAGTTCCGCTACCCCATAATTATAACATTAAAATGGCAAATTTCCGCTATTCGCTACATTCTAGCTCATGTCAACTGTCTGGTCTTTTGGAATTCTTGTCTCTGATGATGGATTAGTCCTTCATTCACGCTCAAACGAAGTTATAAGGCTGGTATTTACGTTTTAAATCAGAAATTTGAAAAATTCGTGACAAAGTCAGCCATTTTGTTTACACCGGAAGTCACGTGTTAAGAGCAGTGCAATAATTCACTTTGTTTGACAACCAAGTCTACTTGGTGCGTCTTTTTATTACCGACAAATGTGCCGTTGTAATATGGAGTTCTCTCCCTTAGACCATGTTTTGATTTGCTCGGATAACACTAATAAATAACAAGTAGCGCTGGTGTGTTTTGTTTTGGGAATAGCGTGTTTGCTTCGATGTTTTAAACCATATTATTTATTTTTTTGTTTTTCAGGGACTCTAACACATCAAATCAAGTAATAATCAACGCCCTAGACCCCTCGTAAATACGAATTGGGCTTTGAATGACGGGTAGGGTAGCGAAACACTTGGGCGTTGAAAGGTAGGAAAAAGCAGACTCCAAATACATGATTATCCAGACATCTTTACTCACGAAACCTGCAGTTTTGGTAATCAAGACTAGATGTAAACAAACAAAATGGCTGACTTCGTCACGAATTTTTCAAATTTCTGATTCAAAACGTAAATTCCAGCGTTATAACTTCGTCAGAGAGTGAACGGAGGGCTTACCCATCACCGGGGACCAGAATTGCAAAAGATCAAACAGTTTTCATGAGCTGAATTGCAGTGAATGGCGGAAATTTGCCATTTTAATGTTAGAATTATGCGGTAAGGGAATGTTGGGTCCTTATTTAAGTAACCTTTTGGTACCAGAGTGTGTCTTTTGTGCTTCACATTTCATTTTACATTTCTTTTAATCTTTTTCAGGTGATTCTGATATTAATAGAGATATGCCAACAGATACAACTGAATCTAAATCTTCAATTGTAATGTAATGAATAAAAATGTGTTACAATTTTAACTCATATGTCTTATTTGCTTTGTTTATAATAACACTTTATAGAG